CTTTTCACAGCTCGCAGACAGTTGAAGCAGGGTTTCGTTTGGGGGTTTTGGTGGTTTTTCTTTTTCCTTTCCAAAGTTCCAGTGCTTTTTCTTGTCTTTGTCAGATGAAGCTTTTGCTAAAGCGTGTTCTGTCTCAGAGAGCTCAGGGTTTATATGGTACTGAATAGAACAATTGATTTTTATTTATGTGTTTATTTACTGCGGGAGAGAGCTGAAGCAGGAAGTTTTAAGGCTTTAACTCTTCTGGAGGAGTTTTATTTAGAGAAGCAGCTTGATTCTGTTGCTGTGTGATTGGCACAAGTTCCTTGCATCCTGTCATCAGTGTGTGCTCTGCAGTGGAGCCCCAGGATCTCTTGCTCCACTGCCCAGGTCACTTCAGGCCATTCGCTCTGGCAGTCTGCATCAGGGTGCTTCTGTCCAGGGCTGGTTGCCATCTCTTACCCTGGAGATGCGGATCACACCAGCTTGGCTCACCACCAGCTCCCTGCCAGCAGGAAAGATGCAAGCTGCAGGTTTTTGGGCACTTCCTGGCCCTGCACCCTGCCCTGTTCCTTCCTGTCTTACCCTGCTCTGCTGAGGCTCCAGAAAACACCCAAAGGTGGTGGAGACCCCCTGGCTTGTTCGATGGCTGTGTGGGAGCCAGGGCTCTGTTGCAACATGTGAGCTCAGGACATGTGAGCTCAGCAGAGACTCCTCACTTCATCGCTCAGCAGAGCCCTAGGACGGGTCCTGAGGTGCATTTGGAAGGTCACCACCTTGTGCCTTCTTAATCCCTTCCTTATCTTGTCCAAACAATTCTACCCTGCTTTGGTTAGGTGTTCCTGCACATCAGCAGGAAGCAAAGGGCTGGTGATGTCCCTGGAGTAACTCTCCGTTCACTTCTAGTGACATCCTTCCCCTGCCACCTCTGCACACTTGGAACTGGTGTCCTGAGGGAAAAAGCCACATGTCTTCTGGGCAGCTCTGCTGCTAGGTCCTGCCTGCACAGGCTACCTGCTAGCAGCCCTCTCCAGATGCTGTCACCTCGGCAGTGGACTCCCTGTGGCACTCCTTAACTCAGTGACCAGTGTGGTTCAGCATGCTGAAAGCTGCCTACTTGGTTGAGTACCTTCTATATTACTTTTTAAGTGTTATAATTACATTGTTGTGATTGCCAAGGTAGATGCAGCCCTGCCAACATAGTGCTGTCTCCTGCCAGCTGATGTACACCATGCCTTAGTTGGGCAGAGCTGCTGTGGTGGGAAGCGTGGCCATGTGGGGCCAGCCCTGTCCATGCTGCTGACGGTGTGGGGCTCTTGGCTGTTCCCGTTTCCTTGCTGTATGCACCCAAAAAGAGCCTCAACCAGATCCCAGGCTGCCGGGAGTCTTCGTTATCTCTGTAAAGTGTCTGCTTCCCGAGCAACAATGTCTCATGGGTGGTTGACTTTGCCAGATCGCTGTGTCCTCTCGTGCCTGGGAAGGTGGCAGGTGATGTTTATCTCAGTTGGGTTCTGTGGGGCTGGTGAGCATGTGTGTTATCATACAGCAGATGGGGCTGGTGAATAGGTGCTGGAGACAACTGTGTTTCCTCACACAGGCTCCTTGCCTGCTGGGAAAGGAGCCAGCCAGGCTTTGTAGGGAGGAATACAGGCTTGGGCAGGCTGCAGATGGGTTTCTCCTTCCTCCACTTAACTTTTGAGTGGGAGCTGCTGCTGTGATCCGCCATGCGCTGGTGTGGGTTGTACCATGTAAGGGCAGATTCCAGCCTTGTGCCCTCTGTGGTCTTTGGACCCTTAAACTAAGCCTGGTGCTCCATGCAGGGACTTGAATTGTCCATCAGTCCTAGCTGGGGAGCTGGTGGCTCATGGGGTAAAATGAAGCTGCGTGTCCGATTTCTGTGGGATCTGTGCATCTCCCACGAGCTTGCAGGGAAAGCCGCATGGCTGCTGGGCACCAGTATGTGGTGCCTGGGGAGAAGCAGGCAGGGATGTCCCCTGTCAGAGCTTGCCACACTGGCGGCCCTGCTGCTGCAAGGGGAGACACATCAACCCTTCCCACCCTTGAGGGAAGAGCTGTCTTGGAGGTTTTAGGTTTTCCTGAGAGATGACAGTGGAGAAAAGCAAGTAGGTGGAAATCCAGGAAGTACACAGGATGGTGTCCATGGAGTGGACAGTGCTGGGAGCCAGCTCCTGTGGCATGTGAAAGAGGAGGGAACCAGGAGAGGGGCAGTGCAGCCAGGGAGCGTCACAGCTCCTAGGGTTGGTATCAGAGCTCTGAGGAGAGCATTGTGGTGTCCTGGCTTCCACCTCCTTCCTTCTTTGCTGCCTCGAGCTTGAATCTCCTGCCCAGCTGAGTGAAGGTGGTGCCTCCCCAAGCCTGCACCTCATGGCTGATGCTTCATCAAGCAGGTCTGGCGATGCAGCTCACCCCACCATCATGTGGTACCTCTGTCTTTTAGATACCCTGGTTTTTCCTTTCCCTATTGCTATGGGAAGGGACAAGGGGATTTCTTTCCATGGTCCTGTGGTTGCATGGCCAGAAGCCTTGGCCACCTGGGTAGGTCCCTGGGTGTGTGTGACGTGTGCAAAGGTTGGTGGCTGGAGGCTCCTGATCCACAGTGAGCAATGCAGCATCTACATGCAGAGGTGGATTGCTGGGAGCCAGTGTACAGGGGGTGACAGTGTGGGACACTGCAGGACAGACATGGCACAGGTTGCTGACAGCCTTTGCTTGCCTTTTACTGATGCCTGTAGTTTGATGAACCTCAGCCAGTAAAACAAATGGATGTGACAGGATCACACGGCCCTTCATGGCCCCATTTGCTTCCCTGCCTCTGCTGGGGCTGGGTGGGCAGCTTCTTCCCTCTGTCTGCTTGAGGAGTGATCTCTCTTCTTTCCAACCTGGGCATGACGCTGCCAGAGGGAGAGGATGTGCGGCTCCACAGCTGGAGGCCTTCAGGCAGAAAAATCAATGTTTATATTTCTCTTAGCTAGGAAAGATTCCTTAAATAACTCCAGTAAAGAAATACCTTGTAAAGTTCAGGCTATGAAGTCATGGTGTATGAAGCAGAAAGAATTTTCAAGCTCTCTCTTGCAATAAAATGGATTTCTTGAGTTCAGGCTTTATTTAGAGAAACGGTTGATTTAAGAAGGGAGCTGAAGGCTGGATCTGATCTCTTGCTGAGGGGGAGCTGCTCTTCCTATGGCTGTGGAACACCACCTGGAAGTGTGGTTGGGTTGCTGCTGCTGGAGTATTCCTAGGGGAGTTTCTCATGTACCGAGCCATGGGGAAGGCCATGCTTCTCCTCCCTAGGGTGGCTCTTGCTGCATCCTGTGTCCCCTCAGGAGCCCACTGGTGCAATGCAGGCTGCTCAGTGCCTTGGGAAGCTGGTTGTACAGGTGCTGTGCTTGGGATTCTGGAGAGCAGCCAGAACCTGGATCCCTCCCCACCAGCATCTCAGAGATTTTCCTCTGAGCCATTAAACATCTTTCCCTTCTTTGTTCCAGCCAGTGTCAGGGTTGAACTAGGTCATTGCTAGAGCAGGAAGAGCGGTGAGCCCACTGTGGTGCAGCTCCCATGATTTAGGCTGCTTGTTCCTTGGTCTGGCTTGGCCTGAATTTGCTGTTCCTGAGAAGAGCTGAGGGCATGGGGTGGACTTGGAGGCTTCTGCAGAGCTGTCCCTGCCCAGGATCTTGGGCAAGCAGGGCAGTGTAGAAGGGGTTGGAGGAGACCAGGTCGGCTGCAGAGAAGCACAGCTGGACTGGAGCTTGGGTTCAAGGTTGGGACTTTAGACTTGGCTGCATTATCTGGGAGCAGGAGTGCACAGCAGAAGAGCTCCAGGCTCGTGCTGCACAGCTACCTCAAGGAGAACTGGTTTGCCCTTGTTTGGAGGAGGAGGAAGCAGAAAGCTATGTTTCAGCCCCACCTTTGCTCAAAGCTCCAAGAACTGCCCCTGAGCAGGGGACAAAGGGCACCAGGTAGGGCTGGGATTCCTTCTGCTGCTCATCAGTGTATGTGTGAGCGTGGCTTCATCTTCCTGAAAGTACCAGGAGGGCTGAGGAGAAGGAGAGCTGCTTCCTGCAAGCTCTGAGGTTGCTGTGGGCTGCGGAGCTGGTCCTGTTGCTGCATTGCTCTTTGTGAACATTGAACCTGCCTAGAAAACATTGTGAAGATCTTTTGCCCTGGCACAACGTGTGTCGGACCTATTCTCCATTAGGGTTTCAGGCATCTCTGAGCATCACTGGAGGTTGAAACCAAGGGCTGGTGCTGATGGTGTTACTTCTGCACTTCCCAGGTAAGCAGGGTAGGACCTGGAGCTGGGACACAGTGCCCTTGAGCTCAGAACCTGCAGGGAACATGTCCTAACACTGGTGCACCATGATCCACCTTGGCTCCAGCCTAGAAGCTGCTGCAGACAGGCCAGGTCAGGCTTCTGGCCCCAGAGCCTATAGCCAGGTGAAGGCACCGCTGTACACCACAAACCTGGTTTTCCTTGCTTGGCGGTGTCTGGTATGCGATAACACAGTTATCCCAGTGTAGATAAATAGTATGCCCATGATGGCCAGCCAAAAGGAGAGAAGAGAGACAGGAACAGAAAGTGAAGCTAGAGTGACACCAAAGGGGGAACGAATTGGCCCTCAGAACAGCAGGTAGGCACAGCATGGTGTCACCTCCTCCAGAGAGTTGCAAGCAAGTTGCAGTTGTACCAGGTGTTGAGGGTGCGTGCAGAGGCAAGGTGCTTGCTCACCAGAATGCATCCCTGACATGAGAGTGTAGCCAGTAAGGTTGTGGGGCTTTTTCTTGTGACCATCCTGAAGTGTTTTGGGTGGAGCCAGTAAGGTTCCATGCACTTGGAAAAACGGTTTGTCAGTGCCAGAGGAATAAGTGCCCGGAGAGCAATGACTGGATTGATGGTTTCCCCTTTCTGGAAGCAAGATGCTGACTGTGCCAGCCCAGGACACGTGTGGTATCCCTGCAGTCAGGGTGGCCTTGCCCTCATGCTGTTGTCTTCTCTTTTCCAGCCATTCCCACTCTCCTGGCTCCATGGCTGCTGTCCGCGAGTGGTCCTGCACCCGCTGCACCTTTCTGAACCCCGTTGGCCAGCGGCAGTGCTCCATATGTGAAGCCCCCCGCCAGAAGCCTGACCTCAACCACATCTTGCGCCTCAGTGTGGAGGAGCAGAAATGGGCTTGTGCCCGCTGCACCTTCAGGAACTTTCTGGGCAAGGAAACCTGTGAGGTATGTGGCTTCACCCCGGAGCCAGGACCCAGTGGCTCCCCCTTGCCCGTCATCAATGGCATCTTGCCCAAGCCCACCGTGCTTGTGGAGCCCAAGGGCACATCCAAGGAGGAGGCTGCCAAGGCAGAAAGCAGCAGCGAGGACTCGGAGGGGAAGAGCCCTGATGAAGCGGAGCTGGAGAGTGGCTGGGCTTGCCAGCGCTGCACTCTGCACAACACACCTGTGGCCAGCTCCTGCTCTGCCTGTGGTGGCCCACGCAAGCTCTCACTGCCCAAGATACCCCCAGAGGCGCTGGTCGTCCCTGAAGTCATCACCCCTGCTGGGTTTCACATGGCCCCTTCTACCCCCCAGCCTTTAGTCCCTGCAGAGATCTCTGACAGTGATGCTGTGGCCACCCAGGGCCCAGTAGCTATGGAACAAGAGGGCCAGAAGGTACCAACCTTCGGACCCTTCTCCCCAGGGCTGCAGAACAATCCCGTCCCACGGAGCCGCCGGGAGGTACCCCCCCACCTGCAGATGCCAGGTGCCGAAGCTCCCCAGCCCGTGGCTCAGGGTGCAGCGGGGCAGAAGGGCTCTCCCCAGGGTCAGGCCAGAGCTGCCCCTGCTGCTGCCCGCTTCCAGGATCTGCTGTCCAACAAGCGGCTGGGTGTGCTGGAGGAGGAGATGGAGGTCAGTCCTTCCCATTGGAAGTGCAGCTCCTGCTCTCTGCTTAACTCTGCCGGGGCTGGTAAATGTGAGGCTTGCAGCGCACAGAAGGGCAGTGACACCATCAATCTGGCAGGGGACTCAGTGAGGTTTACCCCGTGCAGCCCCTCCAGCCCAGACTTCACCACGTGGTCCTGTTCCAAGTGCACCCTCAAGAACCCCACGGTGGCCCAGAAGTGCAAAGCCTGTGGCTCCTCCAAGCTGCATGGCTTCCAGGAGCATGGCACACAGGGCGAGCCATCCCCACGCTGCCCTGACTGCGGCACTGGCGACAAGGGCAGCTGCTGCTCCTCGTCCTGCGGCGGCAGGGCCCCTTCTGCGCGCAAGGTCGCCCGTCTCTTCCCGTCCCAGCTGCCCTCCAGCCAGGAGAGGCCGGGCCAGTGGGCATGCCCCGCCTGCACCTTGCTCAATGAGCTGAAGGCCAAGCACTGCGTAGCCTGCCATACCCCGCAGCAGTACGTGGCCCAGCGCAAGGGCCTCAAGCCCCTCAAGAGACGGGAGAGCATGCACGTGGAGAAGAGGCGGCAGACGGATGAGGGGGAGGCCAAAGCCCTGTGGGAAAACATTGTGACCTTCTGCCGGGAGGTGAGTGCTCACTGAACTGCTCTTGCGCCTGGCTGTGCTTGGAGAGGGCCCTTCCTGCCTCCCCCATGGGGCTTGGGCGTTGCTCGGCACAGGCAAGCTGCCTTCTGTGCCCCAGAGAAGATCTTCACCAGCAACAGCAGGGTTCTAGCTGCAGACACTGGAATGTTATAGTTGGGTGTAAGAGAATCTCTGTGGTGAAAGTGACCCATACAGTTCACTCCTGGTTCAAGGGTGACAGAGTTTGTTAACTCTGAAACCTAGTGATGTTTAGACCTCATAGCAGCCTTCCAGTATCTGAAGGAGGCCTATAAGGATGCTGAAGAGGGTCTCTGTCAGGGACTGTAGCAATAGGACAAGGGGTTTTGGGTTTAAGCTTAAACAGTGGAAGTTGAGGTTAGATATAAGAAAGAAGTTCTTTACAGGTTCTTTACAGGTGGTGAGGCACTGGCACAGGTTGCCCGAAGAAGTGGTAAATGCCCCATCCCTGGTAGTGTTCAAGGCCAAGGTTGGACAGAGCCTTGGGCGACATGGTCTAGGGTGAGGTGTCCCTGCCTGTGGCAGGGGGTTGGAACTTGATGATCTTAAGGTCCTTTCCAAACCCAGCCATTATGGGATTCTATGATTCTGTGTTTTAAATCAGTAAGACAGAACATCTGGGCTGAAGGGGACGTTCTTAGGTAGTCACTGCAGCTCCTTCCTTGTCCAAGTGTGGGGAAAGCTGGGAAAGAGTGTGCCTAGGTTTGCTGGTTGCACTAATGGCATGTGTGTGTAGGAAATGTGGGGCTGGAACAGACAGGCTCAGAGCACTGGCAGGGTGCAGGCAGGGGAACTGCTTCCGCTGCCAGCAGCTGAACATGTTCAGGAACCATGAGCTGGGCCTTGGTGATGTTTGGGAATGCCCAGCTGCAAATGGCTTGCCCCTGTTCTGGGAAGGACGGCTGAGGTTTGGCTGGAGCCTGGATCCAGGTGAGGGTTTCAGGAGCACACACCACTGTGAAGGGTCTGGCTCCATCTGTTAGGTTTCAGTCTCAAGCACTGCTCTGATGGCCCTGGTTTTAATCTGAGTGGCATAAGACACTCTTGTGAATGCTGCTCTTACTCTGGCCTCTTTCTGGGGAAGCCTCCAGCTCTTCTGAACCAGATGGAAAGGGTGTTGCAGTCCCATTTTGGTGTACAGACAAGGCTTTTCCTGCCTGGTCTGAGGAGTGTGCCCATGCCTGTGCCTCTTCTGCAAGACTGGAATCATGGGGATGTTTGACTTGGGTGGGAATCTGTTGAGAATGATCCTGGTTTGGGGTTGTAGGATTTTTTAATTGCTACGTGTCCATCCTGACAGATGCTCTTGCTTATCCCACTGTCTCACACTTCTCTGATTAACCATCCTTTTCTCTTTCTGAATGACAACATGCAGCAGCACATTCTGCAGGTCCAGAAAGAGCCCAGAGCTCTTGCTGTCTGTGTCATGCCCTGCACCTCTGTCTGCAGAGCATTCCCCTGTGCTGGGGAGGCTCCATTTCTGTTTTCCTCTTCCTCCATCCATCACAGAGTTCATTACTAGTAGTGCTTCCCTTGGTCCATGTGGTCCAGGGGAGGTGACAGTGGAGATGGTCACATCTCTGCTCCAGAAGGGCTTGAAGGGGGTTGTTGGCAGAGCAGGAAGAGTGAAGGAGGTCCAATGCCTGGATTTATCAGCTTGCAGGAGAAACAAGCAGAGCTTGTCTGGCACCATCTGTGAGCAGGCTCATTGCTGCGCAGGCATGGGAGGAGGTACCTGCTCCTCTTCCCTCCACTCTGGTACTGCTCCTGCAGCTCTTGTGCCTCTCCTTCCCTCCATCTCACAGGGATATTTGTGGTGATAGCTTCTCTAAAGCATTTAGAAATACATGAAGGGGGACAGCATGGTCATTAGGCAGGCTTCCCTATTGCTGCTGGGGAATGCACTGCTATGACTCTCACATTGCCTCCATCATCATGCTGGTGAAGTCCATGGGCTCCTGCATTCCTGTCCTGGCTCTGCTGAGACCCTGGCTATGTTACCAGCGAGGCTGAAGACTGCTGCTTCTTGTAAAAGCACCACAGGGACTCCACGAGGAACATTTAGCTCGTGCTGTGACTCCAGGACTGTTGTGTGCTTGGTGCCCTGCACAGCAGGGTCCCAAGAAGCCTGGCTGCTCCCCGAGGAGGGAGGCCTGGAGGAGGTTGCTGTCAGGGAGCAGGTGCTCCCCTGGGGAAAGCCAGCACGCACTGGGTTGTGTCCTTGGCTCACATTAGTATTTGAATAGTGCCATCTCTTAGCTGAAAAACACCCTCTGCAAAAGAGAAGCTAGAAGTGCTAATTGAGGCACCATGTAGAAAGCATTGATGCAGGATTGCAACAAAAGAGGAAACACAACTGCTAGTTTGCTGTGCATAAAAGCTTTGGAATTTAAATTGTAGCTGGCTTTTGCTGAAAGAATTTAATTTCATTTAATTACCAATAACAAAGAAATCCTAATTCTTATTTCACCCTGTGTTAAACTGTGTGGAAAAGTCACCTTTCATCCTGACAGTGTGGCTAATAACTTCAGGGTTATCCACCCTTCAGACCATTTGTTGTTCAGCCTGGAGAAGAGAAGGCTCCAAGGAGACCTTAGAGCAGCTTCCAGTGCCTAAAGGGGCTGCAAAAAACCTGGAGAGGGGCTTTGGACAAGGGCCTGTAGGGACAGGACAAGGGGGAATGGCTTTAACCTGACAGAGGGGAGACCGAGATGAGCTCTTAGGCAGAAGTTCTTCCCTCTGAGGGTGCTGAGGCGCTGGCACAGGGTGCCCAGAGAAGCTGTGGCTGCCCCATCCCTGGCGGTGTTCAAGGCTAGGTTTGATGGGGCTTGGATCAATCTGGTCTAGTGGAAGGTTTCCCTGCCCATGGCAGGGGTTTGGGACAGGATGAGCTTTAAGGTCCTTTCCAACCCAAACCAGTCTGGGATTCTGTGATTCTATAATTCTGTATTATTTTATACGCAGCAGCTATTGCATGTGGGCTCAGCTATGGGATATCCTCACTCTGGAATTCCTTGCCCATTTGTGGTCTGGCCAAATACAATTGCAAAACCTGCCCCTAACATCCTCCATGGATGTTCCGGGGGGGTGGCACAAGACTGCCAAGTTCTGGAGCAGGAGCAGCTCAGCCCTTAGCACAGGGCTTAGGTTGAGCAGTGTTTGCCAGCTGGCTCCTCGCAGGCTTGCTCTCCTTATGCTTTGCCACTTCTAGAGACAGCCAAGGTCCCCCCTGGGCCAGCTTTTAGCACCAGCACAAAGCGTGAGACAGTTCCTGCCAGGGGCGGTTCCTGTGAAACACAAAAAGGCAGATTTGAGTTGCAGGCTGCAGAGCTGAGCCAGATCATGGCTGGGCTGCATGCTGGACCTGAGGCACAAAATGCATCTATGCCATTGCCAGCAGACACCCGGCCCCAGTGCTGTCCCCTGCATTGGAAGGGGCTGCCCAAGCGGGAGGGCTGAGGGTGCAGGGGGGGCTCTGCAGGCCAGCCTTGTCCTGGGGGATCCCAGGATGCAACACAGCTGCACATTGATGCTCTCCTTGCCTTTTGCTCTCACAGAACAAAGTCAATTTTGTAGATGACAGTTTTCACCCTGGGCCCAAGTCCGTGGGATTCCCAGAAGGCGACAGTGTGCAGCAGAGAGTGAAACAGTGGCTGCGACCCCATGAAATCAACTGTAGCATCTTCAAGGACCGGTCGGTGAAGTGGTCAGTGTTTCGGACACCCAGGCCCTCAGATATCCTGCAGGGACTGCTGGGAAACTGCTGGTAAGGGCAAGTGAGCTGGGCTGACACCTTCCTGCCCCTTCCTCCTTTCCCCCCTCCTTCATCCAGATCCAGATCAGACCCCCTCAGCCCTACTCAAACCCATTTATACCCCCAGGCATGTAGCCCATCCTCTGCCTCACCCCTTACCATGTCGCCTGCGTGGCTGGGCAGCTGCCTACTGCCTGCCCATGCCATGTCTCCTCCCACTGGCAGGTTCCTGAGCGCCCTGGCTGTGCTGGCTGAGCGACCCGAGCTGGTGGAGCGGGTGATGATCACCAGGACACTGTGTCCCGAGGGTGCCTACCAGGTGCGGCTGTGCAAGGACGGCACGTGGACCACGGTGCTGGTGGATGACATGCTGCCTTGCGATGAGTGCGGGTTCCTCCTCTTCTCGCAGGTCAGCGGCCCTGGGGGGGTAAAGGAGTGATGGGATGGGATGGGAACTGCTCCGCAAGGATGCGGGATGCTCGTCCCCAGCTCTCCCAGGAGAGGCAGTGGGAAGAGGTACTGCTGTGAGACACCTACTCTTGTGCTGCGTGGGGGGTTTGCAGCTCAAGATCCTGCTTTTTGCTGCACCCTCAAGACAGCTGAGCTCTTTGAAGCCATAATATAAAGCTATTTAGGCCCCTTTGGGCATTTTTCAGGCTGTGATGAAATTTCATTTGCAGTTGCCTTTTCCTCACTCCTCTCCGCAGTTCAATAGCATGAGAAGCCACCTTCATTCTTCGCAGCAACAGGAAACTTTTAACCTGAGTGTTTTGTGCTGTGGGGGGCTGAGGGAAAGCTGTTGCTTTCCTCTGCGGGGAGGTCTGGCAGCTTGGCTTTGCCAGGGAGGGACTGTGGAGAGGGAGGGACAACAAATCAGCCTGCTTTGAGCCAGTGCCCAGTTTCTCTGAGCGCGCTCAGGTGGCATCTGCTGTGATGAATGGAGCTCCCGCAGCCACTTCAGGCCGTCAGTGCTGTCTTGCCTGTCCCGCTTGCCAGGCCCAGCGGCGCTTGCTGGGATCATGTCCATGAAGGAGACTGAGAACGTCTTTATTGAAACTCAGGCAGCAAAATCTGACAAAGAAAACAAAGTGCCACTGTGAGGAGGAGCCACGGACCCAGGACTGATGGGTTGGACTTTGTTCTGTCAATTCCAGTCCTCTTTTAAAATACACAGCCCCACATCTCATCATCTGTAGATGTCAGGACAGAACTCTGGCTGGGGAAGTGGGGCCTGAAGGTAAGGACAAGGGGGAATGGCTTTAACCTGACAGAGGGGAGATTGAGATGAGCTCTTAGGCAGAAGCTCTTCCCTGTGAGGGTGCTGGGACAGGGCGCCCAGAGAAGCTGTGGCTGCCCCATCCCTGGCAGTGTTCAAGGCCAGGTTGGACGGCACTTGGGGCAACCTGGTCTAGTGGAAGGTGTCCCTGCCCATGGCAGGGGGGTTGGACTGGGTGAGCCTTAGGGTCCTTCCAGTGCAAACCAGTCTGTATGATTCTATGATTTGGGGAACCTTAATGTTGGTACAGCTTGAATGTGCTCAGCAGCCTGTGCCCTCCGCAGGGTGGAGGTGGCCCAGTGCTGGGGCAACTGCTGGTTGTCTCAGGGCTGTGTCGAAGCTCACAGGCCTCTTGGGGCTGCAGCACAGTTGGCTCCAGAGCCCTCCTTACCCCTGGCTCCAGGCAGGGACTTGCAGCTGTCCAAGCTGCCTGGCCACATTCCCAGCAGCATGGTGGATCTTCCCCTGGGACACAGGGACACTGAGTTGGGGCAAAGCTGCTGCAAGCCAGTCCTCTTAAGGAGAAAACTTTAGAGAGGGGAAGAAGGAGGAGTTGGTATCTACATTTTGCCTCTCAGTACACAGAGGATGAAGACACGTTTCTTTATTTTCAGTGTAAGATTTACCTGTCTCTATTTTCTTTTTTAATTTCCATCCATCTTTCCTATCTTACAAATTTCAGATCTGTTGTTGTTATTATTATTGATGGAAGGTTTTCTCATGGGCTGGCCTTGCCTTACCTGTGTTTCCAGGGGCATCTGAATGTTAGCAAGATTTTCCCACTGAGTGTTTAGCTGTGGGAGCTGGATGTGGGAGCTAAGAGAGGAAAACCAGAATTTTAAAATCAAAAGAAAATCAGGTTCTTTTCCGAGCTCCCTGGCTGCGGCTCAGGCAGAAAAAACAACATGGATTTTGTTGAGTGAAGGATGCAAACCCCAGTGGAAAGCACTTGCAAGCTTTCTTTATCCGTGGGAAAGAAATCTTCAGGGCCTTCCTTTCCTCTCCCAGCTCTCGGCTGCCACCTGGGTGTCGCACACAGTCACACTGCACCAGGGCTTTTACCCTCGAAGCACTGGCTGAAAACCTGATTTTCTGGGTTTTTAGTGGATGGTATTGTCTCCTTGCCTTTTGCCCTCATGCACCTTCCCCTTGGCATCCTCACTGCAGGGAGGTGTTGGGGCTGAGGTGTCTCACATGCTGGGGATGAGAGGTGAAGCACGGCTGGAGGCTCCACACTGCAGTGACTTGGACATGGTGGTGACGGCTGCACCCCAAGCCCGTGGCTGATGGAGGCTTTGCAGACCTGGGTGCATTAATGCAACATCTCCATTTCTTCCCGTATCTATAATCAGCTTAGAGATGCCAAGAGCAATAGCTTGGCACCAGAACAAAGTGTCTCCAGGGGGAGCTTTCCACCTGGAAAACTTGCATCTTGTTGCAATATCTTGCCACTGTCCCTGTGCTGGAGTAGAGGACTTTGCCCATCTGCCCGAGAGATTTTGAAGCCTGTCCTTGAAACAATGTCACTGTTCCATGGGTAAAATTTGCCCGGTCCCTCCTCCTTGTCTGCTCTAGGCAGCCTCCTTCACCAAAGGTGTGTTAGTTTTGGTTTGCAGCAGTGTGTGAGTGAAAGGCAGCTTGCTCCAGATGTGCTCGATAGCCTCTTCCATTATACTCCATCCCTGGCAGTGTTCAAGGCCAGATTGGACAGAGCCTTGAGTGAAATGGTCTGGTGGGAGATGTCCCTGCCTATGGCAGGGGGGCTGGAACTGGATGAGCTTAAGGTCCTTTCCAACCCACACCAGTCTGGGATCTTATGGTTATTAAACCTTTTCAATCCAGGCTGAAGCAGAAAGAAGGGACAGTTAGCTTGTAATGTGGGCACCCATCCTGCCAGCCTGACTGCCTAGGCACCTAAGGGTGCAGCTCTGTCTGACAGACATTCACTCCAGGATGTTTTCCTAAGTGGAATTGAACTGTACAGACAAAACACTGAGCAGTTATAGAATGGGTTCTTCCTCATATAACCAAGCTCCTGGTGTCTGGTCTTGCTGCTCCTGCCTCTTCGTCTCCATCAGAAGGGTGGCTTTGCCTCATCTGCATGTGCTGCATTTGCTTTCCCATCCCCTGCCCATGGCAGCTTGTAAGGTGTTTCTCCCTCTTTCCACAGGCTCAGAGGAAGCAGCTGTGGGTCGCCCTCATTGAGAAGGCTCTGGCCAAGCTCCATGGTTCGTACTTTGCCCTCCAGGCGGGGCGTGCTATTGAAGGCCTGGCTACACTAACGGGTGCGCCCTGCGAGAGCCTGATGCTGCAGGTCAGCTCCACTAACCCTCGTGAGGAGCCCATTGACACTGACCTCATCTGGGCCAAAATGCTGAGTTCTAAGGAGGCTGGGTAAGATGAGGCAGGAGGGTGCTGTGGCAGGAGCATGGACACTTGGAGAGGTGGGGGAGGGAGGAGCACTCTTGGAGAGGCTCAGAGGAGAGGGGCTGGTGAAGCCCACCACCTCATCTTGAGCACTGGTGGAGCTCCCCCTTTAAACTCCTCAGAAATTCTTTCTCCTTTGTTTCATTCTCATATGAAATGAAAACGCTGATGAAGTTCCCTGTGCACGTCTGCTGCTCTCTTGTAGGAGCTGTGAAGTGGCCGGCATCCAGCCCGCTTGCTTTGCTTTCAGTGGTGTTTGTATTGTGAAGTGCTTGACCCCTGCACGTGTCTCCCACCCATACACATTGCAGCTCTGCTGGCCATACCTGGGCATGACTCTAGGCAGTCTGTAGAAGACAAAGCAAAAGTAAATGTATATACAAAAGATGTGGATGGGCTGAGAGGATCCAGAGAAGGGCCGCAAAATGATTCAAGGACTGGGAAGCATGTGATGAAAGGCTGAGTGAGCTGGGCTTGTTCAGCACTGAGAAAAGAAGACTCAGGGGAGAGTCTTCATCGTGTGCCAGTACTTAAAGGGTGGCTACAAAGGAAAGAGACACCCTTTTTACAAGGAGTCGCATGAAAAGAGGAGGTGTGATGGGCACAAGTTACTCCTGGGGAGATGCCAGCTGGACACAAGAGGAAAATTTTTCCCAGTGAGAAGAACCAGCCACTGCAATAATCTCCCCAGGGAAGTGGTGATTCCCCAGCACTGGACACCTTAAAGATTTGGCTGGACAGAGTGCTGGGACATCCACTCTAGGTCATGCTCTGCTTAGAAAGATTGGACCAGATGATCCTTGAGATCCCTTCCAACCTGGTATTCTGTGATTCAAATACCTTATTGCTCTGGCAGGAGGAGCGGGAGGGCAGTTGTGTTAGCTGAAGCCACATGGGAGACTGATAGGTTCCAGAATGTGGTGTCCCCCTAGGCCTGGCTGGTGCAGATCTCTTACTCCAAATAGTCTTTCCTCACCCCTGCAGGGGCCAGCAGCCTGCAAAAGGGGAGGCAGATGCACCACTTGCCTTTCTGTGTGGCTGGGGAGGCTTAGTGTTATTGCAGAGAGGGAATACCCAGGAAGCTCCTGGGGGGAGCCTGTTGCGTGCTGTGAGCAGTAGGGATGAGCTTCCCCCCATACAAGGCCTGGCAGGACACTGAGGTTTTGCTGTTCCCTTGCGCAGGTTCCTCATGGGCGCATCCTGTGGAGGAGGCAACATGAAGGTGGATGATGTGGCCTACGAGAGTATGGGTCTCCGTCCACGGCATGCATACTCCATCCTGGATGTGCGGGATGTCCAGGGCTTCAGGTGAGCTCAGGGTGGAGGCTGGTGTGGTCCAGCAGACATCCCTGCCACAGCCCAAGCACAAACCCTGGCAATGGATAATTGAGTGCAGGCTGGACAAGACCTCAGGGCCTCTTCAGTGTCCCATCTTCATGTCCAGCAAGGGCTATTTCTGCATCCCAGGGTGTCATGTAAGTGCTTTTTTCCACATATGCTGTCCTTTCTGGGCACAGCGTCCACATGCAGGGCTGCTCTGCTCCAGCACACCCTAGAGTGCAGAATGGTTCACCAGGTCTCACAAGGCACAGAGGATTGAGCTGAGCTCTTGCATGAGGTAGTCAGGGCACCGTTCTCACCTTTGGAGGGTGGGGGGTAGAAACGGGTGCTGCCTCCAACAGCCTGGGTGCTCTGTGAAGCCCCATTTCCAGCCACATCACACTGATCAGCCTCTTCCCTGCTGAGTCCATTCCCTGCAGTGCCTTGCTGCAGGTTCCTTAGTCAGGGAAGGGCAGAGGGAGTTGCAGCAGGTCCAGAGCTGCTGGTCAAGAGCATCTCCAGCCACAGTGGGGGTGGACAATTAGGTCTAGGGTGCTGTGAGGGCTTTGAAAGGCAGCGGCAGAAGTGGCGTTGTGCCCTCTGCAGGGGGCTGTCTGGGTCTACAGAGGTGGGAGAGCATCTTGGAGGTGATCTTCCTTGTGCTTCCCTTCCTCCTGGGCCTCTGACACTATTTCCCCTTCCCTCAGGTTACTGCGGCTCCGAAACCCCTGGGGCCGCTTCTCCTGGAACGGGAGCTGGTCCGATGAGTGGCCACACTGGCCGACTCCACTGCGGCACGACCTGATGCCCCATGGCAGCAGTGAAGGTGTCTTCTGGATGGAGTACAGCGACTTCATCAAGTACGGTAGCGCCCAGGAGGCAGAGCCTGTGGGGTGGGCAGCAAGACAGGGGACAGGAAACAGGACACAGGGGTCAAGGTGGGCAGGGCAGGGGAAGGTATTGCCAGGGTCTGCATGAGGGCAGAGGGCAGAGCAGTGTCCACATAGAGCACCCTGCTGGGGCTGAGCCCACCTTCCCCACAGGTATTTTGACTCAGTGGATATCTGCAAACTCCATTCGGACTGGCACGAGGTGCGTGTGCAGGGCATGTTCCCCAACAAAGCCAGTGGGCCGGTGACAGTGACATCGCTGACGGTGTTGGAGCGAGCTGCCCTGGAGTTCGCCCTCTTCCAGGAGGGCAGCAGGTGAGCTGGACCTGGGAGAAAGACATCACCCTTTTGACCCACGCCATCCCGCAGGGTCACAGAGCTCAGAGGTGGGTCCCCATTCCCCATTTCTCCAGTTCTCAAGGTCTGCTTTTTGTTGTAGCCAAAACCCAAGCCCTGCACATGTGCTCATTTCTGGGGCTGGAACTTGGGGCAGTGGGAGGACTGGATGAGAGAGTTTGGATATTCAGCCTGGGGAAGAGAAGGCTCCTTAAGGGAAGACCTTAGAGCAGCTCCAGTGCCTAAAGGGGTTACAAGAAACCTGGAGAGGGGCTTTGGACAAGGGCCTGTAGGGACAGGACAAGGGGGAATGGCTTTAACCTGACAGAGGGGAGATTGCGATGAGCTCTTAGGCAGAAGCTCTTCCCTGTGAGGGTGCTGAGGCGCTGGCACAGGGTTCCCAGAGAAGCTGTGGCTGCCCCATCCCTGGCAGTGTTCAAGGCCAGGTTGGACGGGGCTTGGAGCAACCTGGTCTAGTGGAAGGTGTCCCTGTGCATGGCAGGGGTTGGAACTGGATGAGCTTTAAGGTCCCTTCTACCCCAAACCAGTCTGGGATTCTATTATGACCCTTCCTCTGGATCTGCCATCCTGCCTGTGCCCTCCCCGTGCTCCGCAGCCCAGCACTGGGGTGATGTTACTGTTCTCCCCTTGCGATCGGTGCAGGCGATCGGATGCAGTGGACAGCCACTTGCTAGACCTGTGCATCATGGTGTTCCGGGCCACCTTCACCAGCGGGAACAAGCTGAGCCTGGGCCGGCTGATGGCTCACAGCAAACGGGCTGTCAAGAAGTTCGTCAACTGCGATGTTATGCTGGAGCCGGGCGAGTATGCTGTGGTGTGCTGTGCTTTCAACCACTGGAACACTGCCCTGCCAGGCCCCAGCGCTCTCCAGGGTGAGGGGCTCCCCACACAGCCATGCTCCCTTGCAGTGGGCAGCGGTGGCAAAGCCCTTGACCTTCACCACGGGGACCTTGATGTGGGTGGAGGTTGCTTCCATGTGCAGCAACCCTGCTCCTGGGGGTTGTGGGCTTGGTGACAGTGCCACTGATCCCTCCTTCCTCCATGTGTCTCTGCAGCATCCAGTCCCACCAGCAGCCGACCAGCCACTGATTATTCCAGCTATATCCTGGCAATCTACAGCTCTCGGCTGGTGATGGTGGAGCAGGTGGAGGCGCAGCCCACCACTTTGGCAGATGCCATCATCCTGCTGACTGAGAACAAGGGCGAGCGCCATGAGGTGGGTGTAGAAGGCACAGGGCAGTGACTGCTTGTGGCTGCAGTGGGGTCAGGGTGATGCTGACAGTGGGAGCCTGGACCCTGCCTCTGCTGCATCCTCAGTCTGGTAGGGGCCAGGCAGGTTTGTGCCAGCCCTGGTTGCCACCTCGTCTCCTTCAACCCCATGGATACCCATCGCCTTTGCTGCTTGGGGTACCTGAGCAGCTGGGGATGGAAGATGCTGGTCCAGGGGCTGAGACTGGGAGCAGAGGTTCTCGGAGGCCTGCCAGCCCTGACCCTGCTCTTTGCCCCAGGGCCGCGAGGGGATGACCTGCTACTACTTGACGCATGGCTGGGCAGGGCTCATCGTGGTGGTGGAGAACCGGCACCCCAAGTCCTACCTGCATGTCCAGTGTGACTGCACAGACAGCTTCAACGTCGTCTCCACACGCGGGAGCCTCAAAACGCAGGACAGCGTTCCCCCCTTGCACAGGTCTGGGTTAGGCAGAGGTGGCGAGGGCAAGCAGGAGGCTTGGAGCCAGGCAGGGTCTGGGGCTGGCAGGGAAGTGTGGGCAGAGGGTGGGCACTGGGGGGTGACATCACATCATCTGGATGAGGGACCTGGGGGGTTTAGTCTGGAGAAGAGAAGGCTCAGGTGGGACCTTATCGCTCTCTACAGCTACCTGAAAGGAGGATGGAGCCAGGAGGTGGGGGTTGGTCTCAGGTTAACAAGTGACAAGATGCGAGGAGATGGCCCCAGGTTGCACCAGGGGAACTCTAGACTGGATATTAGGAACAATTTCTCGCCTAAAGGGTGGTCAGGCATTGAAGCAGGCTGCCAAGGGCAGCGGTGGAGTCACCATCCCGAAAGTGTTCACAAACCGTGTAGATGAGGCTCTTAGTGCCATGGGTTAGTGGTGGCCTTGGCAGTGCTGGGGAATGGTTGGACTTGATCTTAAATGTCTTTTCCAACCTGGTTTGATTCTGTGGTTCTATGGTCAGGGCAGAGGCAGCTGCCTGGCCCTGAGCCCGCCGTTCTCTTTGCAGGCAAGTGTTGGTGATCCTCTCCCAGCTGGAGGGTAACGCTGGCTTCTCCATCACCCACCGCCTGGCGCACCGCAAAGCCACCCAGGCCTTCCTCAATGACTGGATGTTGACGAAGGGCACCCACAACCCGCTGCTCACACCTGAGGTTGCAGGACTCCATGGCCCCCGGCCCCTATGACGAAGCGCCTCCCACTCCCTGCTCCATTCCCCCCTTCTCTGCACCGAGCCTCTGGCCTGGGGTCACACCTGCTGTCAGTGCTGTGGGGCAGAGCCAGAGCATCAACGCCCAGCACTTGGCTTGCGCACAGGGCCAGGACCAGCTCTGCCTACTGCCCCCCCGGCCCTGGCACCTCTGGACCCCTGTGCACTGGATGAGGAGCTGTGGGCATGGGGCCATCTCAGGATCCCTCCTGCCCCAAACCTGCCCTGGGACTAGTGCCCTCTGCCTGCAGCAGGGGGCTGTGGGAGAGGGGGGGCTGGAGATTGCTGTCAAGGCCCTTCCCAGGCACCGCGCTCAGGACTCTGCCCCCTCCCGCGGTGCCAGGGCGCTGGCACTGCAAAAATAAGAATATACCTCTGATGTCTGTCCGTCTGCGTGACCCTCCGTCTGCCCCCGGCCCCTTCCCAGTGTCTTGTTCCCCCCCCATTGTCTGCTGCCAGGACCAGCATAGCACCGAGGTACCATAGCAGGGGGTGCTGAGGTCACCATGGTGCCACTCCTGGCTGGACCCCTCCATCCACCTTGTGTGTCCCGTATGCTGGGGCTGGGGAGGAGAAGGGGCTGAGGAGGAGATGGCGCTGGGTTGTTCGAGGAAGCTGCTGCCAGGGGGTTTACCTCACCCCTCAGGCTGACCTCCACCACCACTGCTCGGGGTGGGCAGCGAGGCCATGGAGTGATGCTCAGCAATGCTGAAGCAGAGGGGACCCCACTCACCTCGTCACACAGAGTCACTATGCAAAGGCAGCCAATGGGAGCAGTACCTGGAGTGAAGCCATGGCCCCAAGCGGGACTCAGTTCCCCCAGGGGCCTCCCCATGCTGTGCCGAGGGATGACGGCTCCAGAACTGGCCTCTGGGGAGCAGCTCCCATGGCCTTACCACGTTGCCATGTCCTGGGGGGTATGATTTTGGGGGGTGGGGAAAGCAGAGCACCCCATCTTTAGAGGCCAAGCCCTGTGGGCAGCAGTGAGCACAAGGCAGATGCCTGCAGGCGCTGTGGGGCGCTGCTGGCTGTCCCCCCCTCTGCAGGGCACGGTGGCTCTCTGGCTTAGCACAAGGGTGCGTGCATATGTGTGTGTGTGTGTTGTGTATTTTGGGGGTCCCCTGGTGTTCCCCTCCTTCCCAAGCCGTGTGAACCTGCAGTTTGGCGTGGGGTGGGTGACGCTGGGTGCTGGGATGGTGCTGGGGGCTGCCTGCACCCCACTCCCTGCATGGGTAGGGGTGGATGATGGCTTGTGGCTTCGCCCAGCGTGTCCCTGTGTCCCAGGGAGGAGAGGGGGTGGCTGCGCTGGCACCATCCCTGCCCGCAGCCACTGAGCCAAGCTCTTGTCTGTATCTTCATTCTGTTTTCTCCCTTCCCCTCTCCTTCCTCCTTTGATTTGCCGTTCCCTTTTTTTCCCTCTTTCTTTCCATCTCTGAGCTGTGAATATTTTTAACCCTGTAAATACTACCCAGCTCTTCAGAATCATAGGATATTTTATCAAGTGTAAATCAAAGCAGTAATCCCTGTACCATATGAATTATCCATGGGTGGTTTTCAAACTCAGGTTCTGACGGACCAAATAAAGTTTTGTTTTGTACTGAAGCTGCTGCTTTCGCTGTGCTTGGCTGCGGGAGGGATGCAGGGATGACTGTGATGGAGAGATGTTGGGTCCAAGCAGAGCCACGAAGCCGTTTCTTACAGTGATGAGTGTCTGTCGGTGACTTCAGAGCAGAGCTGAGCACTAAAGAAAGGGTGCAGTTAGGTTGTAGGTTTCTTCAGGGGCATTTCGGGGAGTGGGGGCAGGGGAGGGGAACAGAGAGCTTAAATTCAGCCATGGTCAGGGCCGAGCAGGGCTGCGGCGCTGCCGGGAGAGGGCACCCGCTGCCTGTCCCTGCCTGTCCGCCTGCCCTGCCCGGGCAGGGCTCCTCCTGCCTCAATTTTCCCATCAACACCGGGATGGGTGAGGGCTGTGATGGTGTCAGGGCTGTGCCCAGTGCATCCCTGACCCCGTGGCCAGGCTTGGGCATGGATGGCTTTTGAGAATCATAGAATCACTGAATAGTTCGGGTTCAAGGGACCCTAAGGCTCATCCAGTCCCAAGCCCTGCCACAGGCAGGGACACCTTCCACTAGACCAGGTTGCTCCAAGCCCCTGTGTCCAACCTGGCCTTGAACACTGCCAGGGATGGGGCAGCCGCAGCTTCTCTGGGCACCCTGTGCCAGAGCCTCAGCACCCTCACAGGGAAGAGCTTCTGCCTAAGAGCTCATCTCAGTCTCCCCTCTGTCAGGTTAAAGCCATTAAAAGCCATTTTGCCCAGAGAAGCTGTGGCTGCCCCATCCCTGGCAGTGTTCAAGGCCAGGTTGAACGGGGCTTGGAGCAACCTGGTCTGGTGGAAGGTGTCCCTGCCCATAACAGGTGGTTGGAACTGGATGAGCTTTAAGGTCCCTTTAACCTAAACCTTTGCCCAGTTCTGTGATGCTCTGCACCCTCACACCACGTAGCGCTGCTCCCTTCCTCCCTCTGTCTCCTGTTGGGGCCGGCTGGTGCAGGCAGCGCTTTCCGGCTGAGTGGCAGCGCCGGCTGCCAGCCTGCTCCTGCCTGGGGTGGGCACCTTGAGACCAGTGGGGAGAGACAGAAGGAGAAGAATTTGGTCTTTCTTACAGCAACTCCTAATAGATTTTCCCAGGCGAAACATCTTTGCATTCAGGAGGCCCTGTCACAAGCCATCAGCCTCAGCCGGGGAGAAACAGATGGAGAGTTAATTTTGGTGGGGAGGGCTCTGCTGCTCCCCTCAGTCTGTTCATGAGAGGAGCCGTGTGGCAGAGGAAGGTTTAACCCTCCTGCCACAGACCCTTGCCCTCGCTTCCGTGGGATGCTGAGGGTTGTGTGGCTCAGACCACTGCCCATCGCCCCCGTGGGGCTGCCCCACATGTGAGCGGGGTCCCCTCACCTGGCCCTGTGCTGCTCAGTGCTGGGGACACACTCGGGCATCTCACCCTAGTGATCCGGTGGTGGCCCATGTCGCGATGGCCACCCCAGGTGGGAACTGCATCCTTGGAGCTGCATCCTGGCCACTGTGCTGGATGCAAATCCTACTGTGCCGGGAGCCTGGTGCAGCTGCAACACTCAAGAAGTGGGTGAGCTGGTGCATGGAGGGGGCAGCACCTCGCAGGAGCAGGCATACGGATGCTGCTCCTGGCCCTGAGCCACCAGGACACCATGGAGAGCCCTCAGGACACCCTCTGGGTCACTGACTGGGTGGTGGTGTGGCCATGGGAGGAGTGGAGGTGGAATCAAGCTGTAGTTGTGCATCATTCACAAGGGTTGAGCCAGCATGAACTCTTCTGCAAGTCCCTGTAATTGTGTGTCAGAGGATGGGATGTATTTGACACATCAGCTTTGGAGCAGCGTGTGGCTTTCACAGTACATTTGTTGTCCCTTGACACTGTCATGTCTTGAGCCTGAGGTGTGAGAGGGGAAATGGGGAAAGGCAGTGAGAGAGGTGGGTCTGAAGGGAAGGATGGATGGAAGGACAGAGAGCAGGACATGGTGGGAGAGAATGGAGGAAAAGTGCTGTTGTACTGACCCATATGAACACACTGTGTGTGACAGCAAGGGCAGCAAGGGGTCTGTCCCACCCGGCCCTGGCACGGTGCATGACCCCATCAAGGGGCTGTGGCTACAAAAAGCAAGGTGATGGCACAAGTCACCCCGAGGACATCAGGTTAACTGCTGCCCATCGCATGGGTCCCTTCCACACATGGGTTTGACACTGCTCCCCCCAGGTGGCTGTGAGGATGCTCGGGTATGTGGAGGTGTTTGACATCCCATCAGCATGGTCACCCCTGCTTAACCTACAGAGCCCAGAGTGTCTCCCAGGGCTGGAGGTGGAAGTGTGGGTCCCTGCTGTGGGGTGCATGACAGGCGCTGGACCGGGCTGCATGGGGAGGAGGCATGTTGAGGAGCAAGGACTTGAGCGCTCTCCGTGATTCACTCTGACTATAATGGGAGCTGCTGGTGAATATTTTATGGTTCCCACAGGGCAGATAGAACATATTGTGCATTTTACGCCACATATCTCCGCCTAGAGACAAAGGGAGGCTTAAAAACAGAGCAGCACCATTGCTGTGCAGGGCTGCAGAGCCGCAGCACCGGTGCAATGGCATCACTGCCCACCCGTGCCACCCTCCCAGGCGTGCTCAGGGGTGCCCTCAGCCCAGCACCGTCCCACCGGGGTTGTTCGGCAGCCGCAGGACCAGGAGCTGCGGTGGCTGCGGGGCCAGGGCCCGCCTGCTCCGCGGCTCTGCGGCGCAGGCAAAGTGCTTTGCCCGGGGCTGAGCGCTGCCGGAGGGGCCCTGCCTGCTCCGCCGCTGCCTGCGCCGGGCGCTGCCGTCCCCCTCGTCAATAATGCAGCCCCTGCCCCGGCCGCCCGCCTCCACTGCCCGCGATAATGGATAAGGGACGGGAACAATCGCCCCGGCTCTGCACCCCCGCGCACCCCACACCCTCCTCACCCTCCGCTGAGGCCAATGCTCTGCGATGGAGGAGCCTTCACGTTCGCATGCAGCATCCGCTGCTCAGCTTGAGCACACCAGAATGGGGGTTTTGGGGCGCTGCCTGCAAGGAAACCCCCTTCCCTGTCCAGAGCTCCTGGCTGGTCCTGCTCAGCAGGGACACGTAGCCTGGTTGGCTCCATCGCCATGTGCCAGGACAGTGGCTCAGGCTGGGGGTCCCAGCCCTGCTGCAGTGGCATGTTTGCACAGATGAGCTCTGGGTGCTGGGGGGCTCATCCCACTCCACTCCAGCACACCCTGGTCCTGGCAGGCAGAGATCCATTAGAGACATTGCCTGCAGCTGCCTGCATGGACCGAATCTGGGCTCGAGCTGTGGAGGCAGCAGGCAGGGATGAGAGGAGGAGGAGAATGATGCGGGCTCATGCACCAGTGGGTCAAGTCAAGCCCATGGGTGCTACTATGGGTGCTGAGCAGCCCTTTACCCCCCACCCCAGAGAACTGCCCCAGCTCTCCGCACATATCACCCAGTGGATGAGGACATGATGCTTGGGGGCAGTTGGGCATTCAGAAAGGGATGACACCCCCTCCCCGAGGTGTGAGTCAGCCCTGGGAATCCCCCACGGCCCTGGGGGCAGCTCCCCAATATGGTCATGTAGTGGGGGACACACACAGCCACCAGCAAGGGCCAGCCTGGGCCCCTGCTGCATCATGGCCCCCCATTAGCCGTATGGGAGAGCAAAGCCCCCTGGCATCTCTCCCCCCTCCAAATGGGCACCAAATTGGGGCGGAGCAGAGCTGCACCCTGAGGGGAAGGGGCATTCTGTGGGGTCACAGTGACACATACCCAGGTGCATTCACAGCAGGGATGCAATG